AATGTTCAATAGTGAATAGGAGCAATATCATGTTTGAAAGAGAGGGGTGACGTTTCATAGTGATTGATATGATTTCCAAATTTGAATAGGATTATATACAAATATTTTTTTATTCATTTTCGCATTTTTACTCTCTGGAAAAGGGTTTGGGTCTGGATGAACATTTATATCTTGTTATATTGCTTATATATTACAAACACTTACGCGTTCTATGATGAAACAAAAACAAATAAAAGAAACAAGCAATAAAAGCAGCACTCAAAATGAATAGAACAAGTACTCAAAAAAAAACGGATAAAGAAATCAATGATTTTGCATCGTCCGCCTGCACGGTGTTCCGTTCTGATATTCCTCCCTCTACGTGCTTCGTCGGAACTGTCACACGCAACGTAATATTACCGTAATTGGTATAGTACAGGTGTGATGGTTCAAATACCAAAATGGCAACAGTAACAGAAAGACTTCCCTGGCGGCGATGATAAAATACGAATACGGAGCCAACAGATGAGGTTTCAACTGGTACTGGTATTATTGTACTCTGCAAACATCAAGTACAATAACGCGGTAAAACTCCACTACTCCAATAACTAGATACTTAAACTCCAATACAATTCAACGAGATCTCCGATCTGAACTCAGTGCTGAACAACTCCCCTATATATACCCACACTGTCTATAAATAGACCATTACATCAGCATACATAATGAGTCTGGAACTTACTACAAATTTCTAGAATGTTCCATTACCTTCTATTGCCTCCTACAGTGTTCTATTACCTATTCAACCATTTTCTAAAAAAAATATAGAATATTCCACCCAGACACAGTACGGTTCTAGAACATTCTCAGTGACACGGAAGTAAATAAGTCGTATGCGACAGGAACATTCACCTTGAAAATTCAAGATGACGATTTTGCTGAGTGCTTGATGACGAGTGAGGACGCACTCAATTGCTGCTTGAATATGTAAGAAATAATACGAACTGTTCGTCTATTGGCTTGCTGTCAAAATGATAGATCACAGTTCAATCCAGGTCTTTGAACAGCTCTTTGCGACAGATTATATATCTATGGCATTCATTAAAAAATGAAATTCATTCTCAATGTGACCTTGGTTGTTCATGTTAGTTCTGTCTTTTAAAGGAATTATTTTATGTCGTCCTAATTAATTGTTTTGGCAATGGTCACCTAAACGAAACTTTAAAAGTAATATCAGGGGGAAAATCTCTTCTCTCGGGGTTCTCCACACTTGTCAGGGGGGAAACTCGTCTCGTCTCTCTATCTCGTCCCCTTGAGGTACGGGATCGGGAAAGTCACTTATACTTTACAGTCAAATAAGACACACACAACGAAATACATTTCAACTCTCGTCTTAGTCGGTCAATCGGAGCACTCTATAAGACACAGCGCCCTGGGGAAAAGTCCCCAAGACTCTCACAAGGCTGAACCAAGACTCGCCCAAGACTGGACTGCCTCAAGGCTCGCCCCTGGACTGGACTCGACTGCACTCTCTCTCTACTGCGTCTATCGTGGAGTATTCGCCAAGACCAACTCAAACTCTCTTTATTCATTTTCAAAACTCTAACCAATTACAAAGCAGTAAAAGACTCTAAGGCGTAAACTTCAATCATAAAGCCAATCACACTAAGTACTGAATACGTCATATCTTTTGATTAATCGTTCACTACATTAATAACTATGGAATACCAACTGTCAGAATCGCGACGGTTATCTGGTAATTAGTTCCAAATCACTGAGCCAAGTTCCGTCCAAAACTTCAAATAGGCCTACACGATGACAGACATAACACAGCAATTCGCTAATAATCAGTTAATTAAGTCGGTTAACAGATACGCAAAAACAAATTCATGACAGTAAGTTACGAATCTCTCTTTTTAGCGTTACTAGGTTAGGTGCTTTAATACACCCAGACCTCAAGTAATACTGCATCGAACCCCTTTATAACATTTTATGAAAAATATTTAAAAGTGAAATTCTTCCCATACTGCTGCTCGAAATTTTGCATAAAATGAGGATTGGAAACAATTTATTTTCAGCTTGTTTATAGTACCATCTCTAGTACGTCCATGATAGTACCCAATACTGGCGCAACATGTGATCGTCTAGCAGTCGTACCGATCTGGGCACAATCCAGCAACCTCTGGTCTGAATTACTTTCTTAAATTATATGCATTTATTAAGACCTATTAAGACGAGTTATTGATACTAACAGGTGTGAACGAACAACGCACGTGACATGTTTTACTTCATTGTATTCCTAATCACTAAGATGTGTATCCAATATAAATTCCTAACGGGTACTTGGTAGACAAACTTTTTATTAGTTTCTTTCACATAGTTTTCGTTCCCGTCCACCACAGTAATGTTCCACTATGTTCTAAACACAATCTGGCAAACTACTGTAAAACATATCATTTTAGCGAATTTGACTCAATGCATGAATTAACTGAATCTTAATTTAGCTAAAGTACCAATAATCTTAGTGTGATAATATATTCTATTCTAATTAATTTGCGGATTAGCTAAATTAGCTAAAATAACGTGCTAGCTAAAAAGACATGTTTTACAGTACATCGACCGGGGTTGTATTTAAGAACTATGGTTTAAATATTCGTGAGTCATGAAAACAAAAAACCCAAAGCTTGTTTTTGGACAGAGGGCACGAATCGTCTGCTTCTACAAAATGTCAGAGTATTTTTTTTTTCATGGATTTTTCTATGGTAACCACCAAGGGACCGGGGTTTTACGACGTTGTTTTGTTTTGAACATGTTTTTTTTTTATTTCCAAGTTATGGTGATAACAGTTCGGATTTCTTTCCAATATCAAATTCATGCGAAATTTG